ATAATACATCCTTACAATAACACACACATTTACAGTTTCTGAAGCAGTCCAGAGACATTAACACAAAAGAATTTTGTGGATTCTCCAGCAAATTTTACATGAGCTAGGACATAAAGGGCTCTTAAGGAAAGGAAAATTGGACATCCATATGCCCCCATAAAAAAAATCTCAAACTAAACTTATACTTTGAACAAACTTAATATCAATCTTGTAAGGCTATAAAACTTTCAGAAAACAGCAGAACATCATTGTGACCTTGGTTAGGCAAAGAGTTCATAGATATAGCATTAACATTGTAATCCATAAAAAGAAAATGAGGTATGTTGAACTTGATTAAAATTAAAAACCTTTGCTCTACAAAAGGCACTGTCAAGAGAATGAAAAGACAAGCTACAGATTAGGGGGAAATATTTGCAAATTACATATCTAATGTCTTGTATCTAGAATATGTAAAGAACTCTCAAAACTAAACAATAAAATAAACAGCTCAATTAAAAAATAAATTTGGCAAAAGATTTAACAGACACTTCACCAAAGAAGATATATGCATGGCAAATAAGCACAAAGAAAGATGCTTAAAATCATTAGCCTTTAAGGAAATACAAACTAAAACCACAATTAGAAATAAGTACATGGTTATCTGGATGGCAACAATGAAAAATACTGATAATTCCAAGTGCTAACAAGGATTCAGGGCAACTGGAGCCCTCATGTATTCCTGGAAGAACTGTAAAATGATATGGCTACTCTGGAAAATATTTTGGCAGTTTCTTCTAAAGTTAAATATATATCTAACACATAATCCAGCCTAAAAATTAAAAATGAAACATCAATACATTCATTTAACCAAAATATAAAAACTAAAGATGAGAATAAGGATAGTGTTTCCATTTACAGATAAGGAAACTGACTTACCCAAGGTCATTCAATGAGTAAATGATAAGTTCTGAACTAGAACCACATCCTTGAAGGACATCATTCTCTACCTGTTGTTACATGAGAAGTAAACCTTCAAAAACCTAACCCAAATAATGTATCAGCATGCATTTGGTTGCAGGTAACAAAAAAAATACAATAAAACAATTCAGGGTGACTTCAAGAAAAAGGACATTTATTATTTTACATAACAAGGCGTCCAGTTGTAAGGCAGGTCATGAGTTTGGTTGATTTTGCAACTAAATGATGTCATACATGACCAGGTTTCTTCCTTCTTCCACTCTGTCAAACCACAGCTTCATTCTAATGCTGCTTCTCTTCATGGTCACAGTATGGCTACTGGTCTCAGGCAGGGATATGCGCTTCTTTGTTCATATCCAGTGGAAGATAGATCACTAGCAACAAGCTCACTAGCAACAATCTCACAGAGCTTGTAACTCAAGTACGTACTGCATGTAAATGCTGTGGTTTCTTAGGGTCTTAGAGATTCTAGACAACCAACTATAAAAACTATTTATGTAATTAGTAACATTTTGAGATAAACAGAGCTTCTCACTGCAATAACAGCCATATGTCTTATTTGCACAGAGCTCAAATTTGTGATAGATTTTTGGCAATAGCTATGCTGCGACTCTTAGACACTGTACCTCATGTTTGGTTAGCATGTTAAAGTTTATCAAGCAATGGAATAGCTCATTTTAGAATACCTTTAGTTGAAGGGATAAGGACAGTGAGGATCTTAGAGGAGTTAAGTGACTTAGACAAGTTCACCATCAGTTAGGAACCTAGCCAGATGTCACATTTGAACTTCAAACATCCCTCTCATAATTCTTTCCTTTGCATCACGTTGATTTCTTCCTCAGTGTTTAGATTTCACTAGGGAGGCACAGTAACAATTTCAAAGAAATATTGCAAGTTCATCCATGAGACTCCCAAAGTTTAAATGTCAGGAAGTTTAAACTCACGTTTATATCCCTGGTTTGGCTATTTGGAATTTTAGACTCAAATTTGATAGCACCGACTTAAAATCCTGGAGACTCATTAACTTCTCCATTTTCCTTCCCTCAACATCTAATCATCTTCTGGTAATCCCCTAATCTCCCTTGCACCCATCCCCTGTTTTCTATTTCCACAGCCCCAGGAACCCCAGGGGGGTTCCTTATGATATAGAGATGTTAACACTGAAAGCCCAGGTACCAAATCAGACGTCAGAGTGGCTAAGAGAAGAGAACAAGAAACAGAGCATTGAAAAACTGTTGAGAAGGGAGACCTGGGCAAAGGTTGAATTCCCACAGCAGCAGACATTGTGAAAGGGATTTGGTTTATGTGGAAGATGATCCCAGGAAGTACTGGTAGGGAAGTGAGAGAAGTGGCACTATGAAGGGAAGACAGCTAATAAGGGCACATTGATGAGCAGGTTTCTACTGTGAGCAATTGAGGCTCAGTCCCACTGGAGACCTTAGAGTGAGTAAAACACACCTCATGGTTGCACACATGAGGGTGAGGAGTATGGGGATTTTATCCTCATGTTGACAGCTGTGGGTTCTTGCATTAAGAAGTGGCAGGTATGTACAGGAAGACCAAATGCAAAGGGGATATGGATGAGACATAGACACTCATTGTTTTATGTATTTAATAATTTGTTTGCTGGTAGAATGGCTTCATTTAATGGCCAGTAATGGGGTGGATCCGCGCCTCCAATTGTGAATTACTTGTTGTTACCCCACACACCCTATTTGTTTCTTCCTTTGGGTCTACTCACCAGTTCCTACCTTTGCAGTAATATCCTTTGTAGGTCCCGCCAGTTTGACAATTCCCTAATTCTTCCCAGTTCATCAAAGATTAGTGCCACCTTCTCCAGGAACCCCATCTAACCCCTACTGCCACCCCCGATTCTGGAAGCTGTATGAGGAGCAAGACAAGCTGTAGGTCCCATGGGGCCTGAAGCAAGGGAGCAGGGAACAAGCCCCTCTTCCTTGGTTAGAGCGCATGGGGTCAGGGGACAGATACAGAAGTTGTGCTATGGAGTCATTCCAGGTGGTGAACTCCACATAGGAAGGGACTCATCAATAGCACACCTAACACAGAGACCCGGCCTATTGTGGCTGCACAATTCTTGTTGGCAGCAGAGAGAAAATGAGTGAATGGAGTGCTAGATGGACGAAGAGAACTAGGTAGGGAGCCAAACCAGGTAGTTGAAGAGGAATTTGAGGAGTCATGGAGTGAGAGGACGAATGAAAAACCCTGTAAGCTATTTTTCCGCCTGTAAGCCAGATGTCAGTTGAGATAAATTGTCTTTTGAGATTCAGTGAAATTGCCTTTAACCTCATTCCACTTGCGGGGTAGCATTTCTCTTCCAATATCTCTGGGGGTAATGGGTGGTTTAGGGTGTTTTTTAATCCCTCTGGTGCACTGAGTGCCTACCTTTATAGAATTATGAGAGTTTTTGAGTTACTTTGACATATCAGAAGTGCTGCTCATATTCTCTGCCACAGCACTGCAGACACTTCTTGATTTCTCTCCAAACACTACTCACATGAGTTGTCTGTGTAAGCAGCACAGTTAATTGAGGATATGGACCTTCATATAGCATGCAGTTTGACATCTTCTCCCTCAGTTTCCCTGCAAAAATTCAGTTTCCTTCCCTTTATTACACAGACTATATAGACCAGTTTTGTTTTCTGAATCTTATCCAAGAGCTGGCCCATTTTGCCTCTCCAAAGATGCTTTATGATCTTTTCAAAGAAAGTATCAGTCTGTTCTCCCACTTGAAGCAATCACTCTATACCTTCTTACCTCCATGGCTTTCCAAACATTTGCCTCTGCCTGGAATATTCTTTCCAAAACAGAAGATTTGGCAGATGTTTGGAAATTTTGGTCTTTCTCTCTTTATCCCACATCATTTTCCATAAGTAGAGGGGAATAATTTCAGGATTTATTTCTCCGCTGGTATCAATTATGACATCACAACCATCCCTGACCCTGAAGTGGCCATAGTTGGTTTTTAAATAATACTTCTCTTGTGTTATATAAACTTCTAGCAACTGCTTACCTGGGTTTGCTAAAGTCAAATAAATTGACCAGCAGAGGCAGCCCCCACTCCTTTTCCTCTTCTCCTGCCTTCTACCCTTCCCAGCTTAGAGCATTCCCTGTTTCCTATGATGTGGCAGCGCTTTATTTGGACCTCTCCCATCAGCGTCTGTTAGGGATATTTGGTTACAAATCTTATCACCCTTATTGAACTGTAAACTCTGTAAAGATGAGCTCATCTTCCATCTCTGAAATTCTAGCCTAACCCAATAACCGACAGAATAGATTTTGAAAACATCTGATTTATAAGTGTGGTGGGTGAATGAACGAACATGAAGCTCTGGATGGCCACTTAGTTATCTGGAGAGGCTGCTATAGAAGCATACGGTAGCACCCTCCCCACTTCTACTGATTCTGAGTTCCTGCTAGAATTAATGGGCAGGTACTGATTTATTGAAGACCTACTATGTGAAAAACACAATGGGAGTTCTACTGAGACCTTTTTACTATACCTCTATCCTCACTCCAGCTTCTTGCCACCAACTAATAATAATAATAATAATAATAATAATAATAATAATAATAATTTTTTAAAAAGCTTAAACCAAAAGCTGCCAGGGCATTTCTTTCTATACTTCTTTCTATTTGTTTTTGTGTCAAGGCTTGGCATTAGAGATAGAAAGGTGGTATCACTGGAAATACTCAGGGCTGTCACATCTACATCTGGGGTTTGGCACTGCCAATTCACATTTTCTGAAAGAGTTGTTTCTATGTGCCTTCACAGCGGCCAGCACTGCATTGCCTTGTATATATTATATGCTCAATGAGTACTTGTCGATTGATTTTGTACCAGTATGTGACAGCACAAATGTATTATGAAAAATGAGGAGTCTGTGCACCAAAAAGAGTTTGATTCCTTCTAAAAAAAATGCACAGTGGTGAAGCTTGGCTTAAAGTTCAAATACCCGTGAACCCTGCCCTGCAGTATCTCTAAACAGGGAAATTTGATAAGGTAGTTGAAGGTTAATATTACCTTTGCTCTTTCACTGCAATCAAAAGCATTCTTAGCTTTTAGGTAAACCCTACTGACTACTCTGGTGAGGCATTTTCAAGAGCATAGAACCGTCCTTTTCGCTAGCAAAAGAAGATGCTGTTTAATTTGAGGATCCTGTTGAACAATGCAGCTCTTAGAAATGGTCACAGTTTTGTGGTTCGAAATTTTCGGTAAGTGATCATGGCCAGAGATTTGAGTGTGATTTAGGAACCATGGTGATAAGTGAAATTTATCTATTCTGCAGAGTAATGCAGCCTCAAAAGTCATTTCTCTGCAGGGTGTAGTGCCAGGTTCGACCCTCAGAGACAGCTGTCTTAAAGTCCAGCTGAGCTTTCATTGCTCAGTCCTCTGTAATCAGATTTCATTGTGTGCTGGGGATTGGGGTGACTAACCACAGCAGGTATAGCAGGGATAGTTCTTGACCTCTTCTGTTTGTGTGCATTCTAAATGAGCAACTGGCTGAAGAAAATTAGAGGAACTAAGTTACAGAGGGCCTTCATCTTGTGTTCAATGGGTTTGTTTGAAAACAATAAATCAGTCCAGGGCATGGGGATTAATTACTTGGAGCCTTATGTGTGATGCGGAGAATGAATTTTTAATAATAAAATCCAAGCCCTGGCTGGTGTGGCTCAGTGGACTGAGCAGTGGCCTGCGGACTGAAAGCTTGCCAGTTTGATTCCTGGTCAGGGCACATGCCTGGGTTGTGGACCAGGTCCCCAGCTGGGGGCGTGTGAGAGGCAACCTATCAATGTATCTCTCACGCATTGATGCTTTTCTCCCTCTCTTTCTCCCTCCCCTCTAAAAATAAATAAAATATTTTTAAAAATAAAAATATATAAAATAAAATCCAAATGTGATATCTAGCCCTGAAATTCTTGGTAGCATGTGCAAAGGAGGCTGTCTCTACTGGATTAATTATAAAAGCTACATCCAGCCCTGGCTGGTGTGGCTCAGTGGATTGAGTGCCAACCTGCAAACCAAGGGGTCCCTGGTTTGATTCCCAGTCAGGGCACATGCCTGGGTTGTGGGCCAGGTCCCCAGCTGGGTACACGTGAGAAGCAACCACACATTGATGTTTTCCCCTCTTTTTCCTTCCCTTCCTCTCTCTCTAAAAATAAATAAATAAGTAAATAAATAAGTAAATAAATCTTTTTTTATAAAGCTACATCCAGCTTAGAGCCTTGGAGCATGTGGTAGAGAATGGGGCATAGTGTGTCTGTGGGGAAGGTGGTGAGCTAGCTGTGTAACCAAGGTCATCAAATGTGGACTTTGTTGCCAGAAAGCTTCTAGAGTAATTAGAGCATGTTAACAATCAGATAGAATTTTCCCAGGGCCTCTTTACAACCTAAACCAACCTCAAAACAACTTCACTGACTTCCTAAAGGAGGAAGCTTCTAGTCTGTAATTTTCTCCCACTGTTAGAAAGTAACCCTGTGACAATGGCCCTCAGTGCCCCTTCTCTGGGCCACCTCACAGCTCTGACCTCTCTGAACTCCATCACTTCTTTGGTGAATATAAAACTCTCAGAATACAGAGTTTCATTATAAAAGATATTGTAAATTAAATCCATAGTAGTAGACCTAAGTAGGACCTCAGAGCCACAGAATAACGCCTTCTCTTTTTATACAGATAAACTAAAAGAAGTCCAGGGAGAGTATGGGTTTTACCAGTTAGTGTCAGAATTAGACCATATATCCAAGAATCTGGAAGAAAACTCAGGTTCTGGAGTCTCAAGAACCAGGTTCAAGGCCTGGCACCACCACTTGCGGGCTATATGATATTGAGCAAGTCACTTTACTGTTCTGTGGTGTTGATTCACCTATAAAATGGGAAAAAGAGTAATGCCTGTTCTGCTTCCACTACACAGTAGTTCAATCATTCATTTACTAAATATATATTGATCGCCTACTTTGTGCCACACCCTAGGCAAGGTGTTGGAGATACAGTAATAAATAAGATATTTTATTTCAGACACATGAAGTCACAGCTACTGAAAATCAGTGATATAGTGTGTGAGAAAACTGTATTTTATTATTCCATCTCACTGAGTTACATCAGATAAAAGTGTGATGAAATTTTATTCCATAGTTTTTAAGAGTTATCACTGAGCTGAAGACAATCAACTGAATAAATGACCAAAGCTTGGAGCTTATATTCTTTGCGAAGTACAGTGATTACTGATATTTATTATTATAAATACTTGCAATACTTCTTCAAAATATTTGGGCTTTTTGATACTTACTAATATTCTATTGTCTACATCCTGCTATACCAGACTGCAATTCTGAAAATCCTGGCTAGTCATCTCTCACAGTGAATGAAGCAAAAATATGCTATTTGAAAATGTGAAAGCATCAAATCACCCATGCTATTAGGAAGTTAAGAGCATGAGCATCTATTGAAAAATGAGATAATGTTGTAATGGTGTCATTCTCATGTAGCATGGGTATTTTTCTTTTCTACTCTTTTAGTTAGCCACAGTAGCTACCAACAAGGTAAATTCAGAATTGCTGATCTCTAGTAAGACCTACATTCTTTGATGACCCCTTAACAACAGAGAAAATCTCTCTGTCAACTCTGCCTCTATTGTACTTTGATTTTCAGCCTTCAACAAATACTTGACACCCCCCCCCCCCCGAGCCACACACACAGCTCTCTTGGGAAAACTGGAAGGCTCTTGTTACAAAAGCTACCACGTAAGTTTACCACTAAAGAGTTATAGGAAACATGTAGTTAGGGTTTCACAATGCCATAAAACAGGGGCTGCACAGTTTTGAAGTAAGCAGCCATGTCGGCCATAGACATGATAAAATAACAGCATGAGTGAGGCTGAAGCCATCCATGCTGGCTTCTGGATCAATCATTTTTAGTCAATTATTATTATTATTATTATTATTATTACAAAATCAATAAGGTCAGACACCAAGACTGCCAAAAACACCCAATCTATAGGCTTTTCATCTCACAAATGAGGCTTTAGAGCCTGGCTGTGTTTGGATAATAGACAGTGTCCTATGATTTGTTGCCTATTAGGGAAACCACTTCTATCTTTTAAAGAAACCACTAAAAAATCTCTTTCTTTATCAGAGAAGACCACTTTGTAAGTGCAGTTCAATTTCATCTCACAGATAGAAATTTCTTCAGAGAATATTGAGCTAAGCCACCCAATCTGTGGAGGTTATGGATTGGAGCTGGAGGTGACTGGTTTTCAGGTATTTCATTCCAGACCTCTCTAAGGGTTTACATAACTCATTATGTTCCCTTCATCTCATGCTCATGCCCATCTATACACACATGGATACAGACGAAGTGATGGCAGTCCATCCATATTTTTGCATAGAAGAGACAGTCCTCTGTGATTATTCACATTTTCTTTCATAACTAAAAATGAATGCCTTTTAAAAAACATAATTCTTGACTTTAAAAAACTATACAGGACATAAGACCAGGAATGAAATGAAGGTTAAAATGTTTCCCTTGGTCAACAGTAGAATTTGGGTTTTATTCCTAGTTTGTTATTTTCAATAATTTAGTAATTAACATAAAAGAAATAGAGACCGCTACAGATTTTCATTAGTTTTGTGTTTCTAACCCTTTAATAGTAGGTCAGACAGAGCTAACCATCATTTCAGTCTTCAATTTTCAGATGAGGGGAAATTTCACAGTTTTAGAATATTGACAATATAAGATATTTTAGAAACCACATAGTCACCTGGCTATCAATAGTAATGTATACCACATGTGAGTATGTGGCAATAGTGAGAAAGTTTTCAAGTACATTTTTATTAATAACTTATTGTGATTAGTGTTAATAATAAAATAAATTTAGAAAATATTTTGCTTTTCTCAAATCATTAGGATCAGAATCAAGTTTTGTAAAAATAAAGTCACTCTCCTTTGTATGCATTGTAATATGCCTTTTGAAATAGAAAGAAAGGAATAGAATTAAAATGAGGCCACTGAGAATTCGATGACTCCCTTATAGCCCATGGAAAATCTTGTGCTTATAAATGTTGTAGAAGACAAAAATATAAAGGACCACTGACTTTTAGTACAGTTTCTTAATTTTTTCAGATGAGAAATGGAGGCCAAAGATGGGAAATTATCTTGCCAAGGTAATAGTTGAATTAGGACTAGAATTTGAATTCAAAACCAATGCTCTATTCATTGCGCCGCTCTGATTAATTTGATCCTTCCAGATTGATCAAGTTGGCCAATGTACTCTTGCGCCGTGTCTCTTTTTTAGGAATTGCCAAAATGTGTCAGTAACAACAGCAAGAACAACAACAAAGAAAGTAAGCCCTAACTGTTGCATCCATCTGCAACGTTAAAGTAGCACCAAAATCTCAGCAATAGGGGCCTTTGGCTCTCTCTTATGCCTCCAGAAGCTAAAGTCTTTATCTCACATTCTCCACAGTGATCAAAATATCATTTAACACTGAATATTTTCCTACTCTGGCAAAGTCTGTTTCTGACTGACCACATTTTACTCAAATCAAGCACTTTTTCTTCCCACAAAATACAATTATACATGGGAACATATCCAGGCCTTCCCCCATGCTCCAAACAATTTACCAGAGTTGGAAAATGTAGACTCTAGCAATAAAAGGTTCATTCTTCCAATAGAGAATAGTACTCTTCCATTTTCTAGCTGGGAAGGTATTTGGATAAAGCTAACCCAAGGATCTACTATTACCTTGGCTTAACTTCTTAGCATTCAGTGATTTGGGGTTGAGAAATCACTATAATTATTTTTTTCAAAGGATAAGATTAATGTAAGGAACTGGTGTTGCCTTTTTCAAATTTCTGGCTTTGACCAGGCTGCAATGACAAGGACCGTTTTGCAGGAAAATCTGTAAGTGGTTCCTGCTGTTTTCTCCAATATTGTACCTTCCCTATTATGTATTAGCTGAAGAATGATAATGTGATTTAGGTCTGATTTACCAAGGAGGCACGTAAGTACAAGCAGACCATGCATTTTATGGAAACAATAAAATAGTAACTCTGGCCCTGGGCTGGCTGCTCCTGAACCAAACTAGGCTGCGTCCAACTGCAGCATGGGGTCTCTATAGCCATTTACGCCAGTGTTTTTAACTGGCTGCTTCAAGCGTGAGTTTATCACCTGAAAGTAAGAACTACTTGATAAGGAGTAGGAAAAAAGGGGGCCCAG